TTGTTTTTCATTCAGCTGCAAAATAAAGTGTAAACCTGCCATCAAAAATCATATACTGGGAAAAATTAAATATCAGGAATCAGAAAAATACTTCCCATTACTGTTTCTAAGTCAAAGAGAAGTAAAAATAGGTCACAAAAAGGCTAGTTTAATATCAGAGGATTTAGCTGTCTTACAGAACTGGCCACTTCCCAGTTAACTGAAAACCCAAGAAATTGATTTCCTAGAACTACAGTGGGACTCTTGCTGAAGGCAAAAGGAAAAAAGAAGTCATTTAGCAGGAGCCTTCGTTCTTTGAGATACATAGCATATTTGTCTGTTTAAGTGTGGCTCTGAGCCCACAGCTCTTAAGACTACAGATGCTTTTATTCTAGCAGTATCTGTAGAGAGAGTTCACACTACACAGGGTGGATGGAGATCAGAGATCCATCTCCATCGCCTTCATTTCTCTGACTCTCCCAATCCAACAACAGAAAGGCCGGGGATGCAGTTAGGAAGCTAAAGTAAGTGTGGATTATGCATCTCCAAAGACTTGCGTTACTGGTAAGTAATGTCTGTCTTTTCCCGTATTTGAGCGTAAGTCCACATGTCTGTTCTAACAGTAGTCACTTCAGTCAGTACTCTGTAAAAGCAGTTACCAGGAAGAGGTCTTGGAGCACTTCCTGACGTCAGCATTGCTCTGCAAAATCCAACACTTCTGGATGCATCAACATTTGGTGAAGGTGAATGTCAGTGTAGGTAGTTCCCCACAGGTGTCAAGAGCAGACACGCTCTTCATATAAGCTGCAATACTGCATGGGCTCTAATACAGAATGTGCTGATTACCGCGGATAGTAGATTTAGAAAATAACGCCATCTAGTTTGTCACACAGTTAGCCATCCTAAGTGTAAAGGTCCTCATGATTCCTCAAAAGAAAATACTAACATTCTTGGAGAACATGCCAAGTGCTCGGTTCTGTGAATGTAAAAAAGACAAGACTTAAGAGTGGACAGTAGTTTCTCTGCCTCATCCAATGCTGCCTTAGAAACAAAGCAGGTAAACTGATTCAAAAGCAGCTCTGTGATATGTCTCAGGGAGAGATCTGGGAAAAAAATGCAGCAAAATAGCTATCTAGGAAAGACATAGTAGAGTGAGAAAGGCCAATGATAAGGTCTTAGGTGTCACCAACTGTAAGTGCAAATTATAGCTACCAAAAAAGCTGGTTAATGAATAACGTAAAGACTAAGCAATGAAGAGGGTTTAGTATTAGGAAAATGCCCTAAGGCAGCCCTAGGGAGTGTTTCTGAGAAAACAGCCCTACAAGATGAGTCCTTGAGAGAGAAGTTAGATCATCATGATGGCTTTTTTCACATTTGGATCACAGAACAGGAGGTCTGTAGTCAAGCTTCCTGCTCAAAGCAGGGTCAGCTCTGAGGTCAGACTAGGTTGCTCAGAGCTTTATCCAGTTTAGGTTTGAAAAACCTCAAAAGTGAAGAGATTGCACCTACCTCTCTAAGCAACTTGTTCTAATGCTTGACTGTCTCCATGCAGGAAGGTTTTTCCTTGTATCCAGTCTGAACCTCCCTTTTATCAACTTATGTCCATTGTTTCTCACGCTCCCCGTGGAGCACTGCAGAGCCTGGCTCTGATCTCCTAGTGACCTCCTCATAGGTATTGGCAGGCTGCTATTATGTCCCCTTAAGTCAGGGCGAGTGGAGAACGAAAGCCAGATGTTCATTACAGTGCTGACCCACTTGCTTTGTGCTTCAATTTCTTTTGCCCGTTTTTTTTTTTTTCTTTCTTGGCAACCTCCTAAGGGATTTTGAAGGCCAGTCTGGGCCCGAAGGCCCTGGACAGAAGCTTGAGATGGAGAAGCTAGTATCTTTCAGGCTTCATTGGCATTTAACTGAGATGAAAGGAGTCTGGGATTGGAAGGTCAGCGGTGGAAGTCATAGGAGTGAGTGGTCCAGTAATATGCTAGGGGCAAAGTAGAAGAGGCATTAGAGAATTGTTGGTTAGAAACAAAAGGCCCAACAGGGAATCTGTTAGGTACTCCAGGAACGAACATGCATTTGGCTTGTTCTAGGTTAAGGAGCACAAATGGAGCATTTCCCTTTGAATGTTTTTGTGGTGTTTTGTTTTGTTTTTTTCCTTCAGAAGCATCCATGCTCAGGGTGTGAAGCTGTAGGCCTTGGAAGCACTCTGCAAAATAACACAAGTGAAAACCAGCTTTCTGCATCTTCTTGGTGGCTCCTTGATAATGAAGCAGCAAGCCCAGTGTGTTGATTCAGGCTACGTGGTCCAAACACAAATCCTAAAGAGAATTAACAAGGAAAGAGTAAGTCAAGGCAAGATTTAAAAAAACCCCGAAACATAAAAATCAAACCAAAAAACACATCACAAAAACCCCTAACTGATTATGGGTCAAAATAAGAGAAAACTAAAGAAAAAGGAAGGCAAATAGTTGCAATCTAAGAGAGGAGCTGACCAGAAGGGAAAGTTTCTTGCATAGGCTGTTGAGAGTATCTTCAGAATTAAGGTGGCAGGCTCATGTATTCTGCATCTGTGGTGGGAAAGGCTAAAGGCTTGAGCCCAAGTAATCCTTTTCCAGTGACCTGTCTACTCACTTGTGACACAGCTCTCCAAATCAGCACTGAGTAAATTTGCCACTGGGAAGGGATGATGGTTTCTGTTCTGCAGTGCTTTCTCTGTCACTGTTTCCTCCTCTGCCTCAGTAGGGGCCAGGCTGGAAATCAGCTGGCACAGACACAGGACTCACAGGGTTGCACTCATGAGTTCATCAGGCCATTCACTGTATTTACACTAACAAGCCTTTATACGTGTAGCATTCTGTAAATATACTTTGTTCATGCTAGACAACTTCTCTGAAAAACTAGTCTCTGTGGTGTCACATCAGCCATGTTAGTAACTGCTCCAAGTTAATCAAACCCAGATTCAATTTCAGAGCTAAATCTTCCAGGTTTGGGAAATCTGCAAAGGGGCCGCTGAATGTTGGGCACCATCTTGAATCCTATTGTTGTCCTTACCCACACATCAGTTCTCCTGGATCCCAATTGCTATTTCTGGCAAGCTTCCCTAAAGCTTCCCTTCTCCCTTCTGTAGGGAGAGCAGATCACAGACTAGATTTAAGTATGTCTGCACATCAGCAAAAAACAACAAAACACACAGAAAAGAGTCCAGCCCGTGTCATTTGTGATGCATTACAAATGAGAACGAGAGTACGCATACCATCTACCATGGATTTTCCAGCTGAAAGGCAGAGACCTGCTGCTGAATTATCAGTTTTATTTTTCTTCTACTTATAAAGTACGTTTTAAAAGGGGTCTATACTTGCTTTGAGTAGTAGCTTTCAAGAGGTACTCAAGGAGCAAAACAGCACAAAAATTTGCATGAAATAAACATTCTTGTGTTCCAAAGTCTGAATCTGTTGTATGAATCTCCTCCAAATATTTCTGGAATCAGTATTTGCTATTTCTTCCAATTGTAAATCCTGACAGATCTGGAAGAGTAAAGCAGATACTGGTTGCACACAGCAATGGGTTTCTTCTAAAATAAATAGCTCTGTGGTAAAAACAGAAGCATAAAAACCAGAGTGCAATGAATAAAAAAGTTACAGTGTGATCTGCTTCCCTCTGAAACTGATGGTATTTAGAGCATGGTAGATAATACAAGCAAAAGAGTACTGCTACAAGCAAAATACTTGAATAACCAAAAAAAAAAGGGTGGGGCCAAACCAACTCCAAACAGAGAACAGCTTGTAAATCATTCTAACAAACCTGCAAGTGATAAAAAATTACTCAGATTCATATTTAGAAAATAAATTCAGTGGTCTTTGGCCTTTGCTGGCCATGGGCAATGATGGCAAGCAACTAGTAACCCATGGCTTTAATATTCCATTTTCTTGGCTGTAGCTTTAATTTCTAATGGCTGCTAGAAATAGCAAAACATCTTACAAACACAATGTCACTGTTCAGCCGTACATGGGGACCACTCTATCAGGTGAAACTTCAGTATCTACTGTTACTTCATGATGTTCGGTTTTTCTGTACTGGAAGAGATAAACGCAAGATTAAAAAAAAAAAAAAGGTTTCAAAATATAAGCAGCTCAGACCAAGGCACAAATTGGACAGTAAAGAGGAAGTTCAGGATTAGCTTTTGCGAGAGGTATCAGAACATGCAAGACATTACACAAAAAGCTGTTTACCTAGAAGGTAAAATCTTCCTCCTTCGATTGCTGTTTCCTGTCACGCAGGCCAGCTTTCTATCTCCTCTGCCAGTTCCGAGTGTATGCATACAAAAATGCAGTTTGCAGTCCAAATTTCTGGCTTTCAAAAAAGATCATACCATAATTGCAAGTATCTTCCCTACAGTATTGCCAAGACTGAGTTTCCAGATACTTCATAAAAGGAGCACAAAAACGCACACCTTCCTCAGATTTGCAGAAGAGGTTTGCTGTGAGAGAAGAAACTGCAATCCTCTCTGCAGAGCTGACAAGCCAATGAACAATTTAAGTCTCACTTGATGTGTAACTGGAACAGGCTTTACACAGAACAAGAATCTTAACGCCTAGATAAAGTTGCATTTTTAGTATTAACAATGATAAAAAGACTGGTTATAAATTTGTACTGCCCACTGAAGTGAGAATTCCTAAATCTAGCAGCTGTAGCAAAGTTAATTCTTAAACTGATAAGGAATGAGAAAATGCATTCGGCTATGCAAAGGAATTTAAAAATGATTTATCAGTACAAAAACCTCAGTAGCTGATTGTCACACATGTCCTGACATGTAAATACAGAAATATTTTAGATGTGAGTTCCAAAACCAATCCCAGAGCAATTCATCCCTGTTCAGAGAGCTGGGCAGATCTTTTGAACCACCAGTGGAATTCTCAGTGCTGGCTACCTGCACAGTGTACTTCAGCCTCTGGGAAGACAAAGGGCAGTCTTGCAATACGTACCATTTTTGCTTTGCAAAGATAAATAATGACAAAACTCATCTGTTTCTTACAAACATATAAATTATTTTATTTACAAAGCCATGTTACAAAAAAAAAAAAAAAAAGCAAAAAACCAAAAAAATACAATCGCTCACTAGAGAATATCTCCAGGCCCGGTGTTGAACCATGGCAGTATCAATCAGATACATGTTTGTTCTGTTTTTCCTTTTTTAAACTGTAAGCCATAGAATTTACTATTTACACCTACTTTAGACATTTATTCTGCTTACAATTATCACAAGCATGGAATGAATTCTATTTGATACTGCTAATACATAAAGGTGCAGGACAAAGAATGAAAATACTTAGTGTTACAAAATATGGATTGTAGAAAAGAAATTGGCTGTACAAGTATGGCATTTTTTTTTTCTTAGAATGATTGGACATGCTTTCTTCAAAAGTCTTCTGGAAAAGGTTCTAAAATCTGTAGTAGGAAAGCACAATATAGCAGGTGCAAATTCATTTCTGTGCAACAACAGTTATTTAATATATCCCATGACTGACCAGCTATGCAAAACCCACAGAGTTTTGTTAAAGTGCCATGGGTCAACAGCATAACAAAATATAAGGTGTAAATAGAAAAATTTCTTTTTTTCTTCTTTTTTTTAAAACAATAGTTCACTGAGAATCAGCAATAATAGAATATGCTGTATAAACTATTCTCTACAAAGGTCGATCAGCACTATTTACAATTGTTACATCAATACAAAAGAAGGCATACAAGTTATCCAAGTCGCTTTTTATGGCTGACGGGCCTATGCATTGCGTATGTGTAACAACCAAAGCTTCTGAGCCTCTATTGCTGGGAACAAATCACAAGATTTTCAGGCAAGTGGGGAAGAAAAAGAACTACCGAGTGAATGCTACACTAGTAATGCATTATAGGCTGGTCCAGTTTGTATCCATTTTTTTCAGATGTTTACTTCCATTTCACTTTTCAGGTTGAAATTTTTGATACACATAATTAAATAATGATTCTTTGATGATGAAAGAACACTGTGGGATTTTACTTCGTGCTTAACTTTCCTGAAATGCTGTCAGGCGTAAGCCAGTTGAAAAAAAATTTAAGCAGCATTCAAAGGACAGGCTCCATATTCCAGCTTTCCAATTAAAAGATGCATGGAAAGAGCTAAAGCTTCCTAAAACTACAAATTTGCTCCTTCAGTCATCGATTAGCATTGTTTCTCAGAAGCAACCACTGAATCTCACAACCACTGTTTTCCCTCAACAACTAGAAATAGCAGTTCATTGATTACAGAGGATGATGTTGTTACTGAGATTTTTAAACTCCTGCAGTTTTATAACTCAAAATAAATTAAAAAAATCAACATAGTACTGCTCCTAAAACTGAACAAGACAAAAATTGTGCAAAAATAACAAAGATATGTACACATTTTTCTGTCTGAAGAAATGTACAATAAAAACATAATTCAAAGAACATTTTAAAAATATAAACATTGCTTAAACTTTCCTAAGTTTCATACTGTTTCTGAAACTATACCGGTCAGTTAGCTCTGAAGTATAGCAAAACATAAATTATTACAAAATTAACACTATAAAAATTTATTTTAAGAATATTTCTAAACTTTTTTCAAAGGGTCTAGCCTTGTTTATAATTGCTTAAACATTTTTAGTCTTAAAATTTGCCTTAAGCCTTCTTTTTTTAAAAAAGAAAGTAGTAATAATCTCCCTATTTGCAGTCTCTCGCCTTTCCCCAAGATGTAAATAAACCAGCATATAAGTGCACTTTTAACACTGTAGAAATAAAAATTAACTCCTCTGTACTATTGTTCCAGTACCTAGTATTGGCTTCCTGATTATAAAATCTATATTTTATTAAAAAATTATTCAGTAATCCTATAAGAAACACTGTCAGTGCAATTCTATTAACACAAGCCAATCTGCTCAACTCCTGTCCTTGCAAACCCAAACTGTTTACTGAAGTTATCAAGTGCTATGGTCGTAAGTGTCTAGAAATCCACCAAGATTTGGGGATTTTACATGTTGAGCCCCCGATAACAATTACAGTTTGGTGCAAAAATCCACCATGCGTTGATTGAAGTATAGATTCCTTAAGAGCCTGATCCTGGAAGAGGCTGAACACTCAGAATTCCCACTGAAATTATTAAATGCTGTAGGTACAGAGCACCAGTCAGGATTAGTCCCTAAAGTTGCAGTGCCCCAGCTGTTTGCAAATTACTAAGAAATGCACTCAAATTTTTATCCATAGGACAAGCTTAAATACAGAATTACTGTAATTTTTATTTAATGAAAACATTTGGAGATCCTTTAAATAAATTCAAATAATGATCTGTTTGGTTTTTTTTTTTTTTTTTGGAATGTCCGCTGTGTTCTGGTAAGGAAACAAAGGGAGCATTGCAATGCTAACAGCTCTAAAAGGCATGAAACATAACCAAGCAGAACGCACAGATCAGTGGCAAATACAAGTGAAAAACTTAACAAATCACTATTACAGTTTTCTGTAAATTTAATTCTCTTTAAAACCACAAATTCATAAAAGGTTAAATCCATCTGCAGGACATAGAAAAGAAAAACCCTGTGGAGTAGGGCTGCTGAGAGCTAGAGATTATAGGCTGGTTCCTTTTCCTTGTTATGGAAGAGTCCTTATTCTACCAGTCCGGTTTGATGTCTTCTAAAAGAGAAACCAGAGCCAGGTTCAAAGATCACAAAATGTCTTTCAGTACACAATACTTTAATAACACCTGCATCTGACAGAACTCAAAAGCAGGAATTTATTTCAAGTCCCTGAACTAAATTCCCTCCCTGTTTACTGATTACATTAGACCTTTAAGAAAGGGAACTGCTTTGAATAGACAGCGTATTTCCTTTTGGGACTGTCTGATTTTAGTAAGCTTTGGCAAATCTCACGTTCATTAACTTGGTGTATCATTACAAATAAAGAGCAGCAATTAGACGACAACTCTGAAGAGTCTTTTCCTCTACACAGCACGTTTTCATGCACAAGGAATCCCCACACAGCATACACGTTGTCACCTTCCCTTAATAAAATGATCTAGTTACTCAGTATTTAAAAACCACCGCATACTGAGGTCTTGAAGTGTTAACACATTCAGGCACCTAAAAGCACTATGAAGACAAAAACACTTGATTAGTTATAAACCTAGAACAAGGATAAAATCTGGAGAAAACAGGCTTTTAATACATAATTTGTCTTAACAAGCACAAAAAATTTGATGCTAAAACTACCATTCCATTAATGTTTGTTAAAAACCCAAGTAGTTTTTG